CTAGTTACAGTTACAGTTATCGCTTTTTAAAAGTAACTCGTTACAGTTACCGTTACTTGAAAAATAACTTTTCGTTACTTTTCCGTTACTTTTTTAAAATCAATTTAAAAATGTACTTTTGCATTTTTTTTTTATTATATGTAATACTGACAAATATATAGTTTTATTTAAAAAAAAAAATCAATGTAGAATGGCTCAAATAATAAATTAAATAAAAGTAAAATAAGAAGGGTTACGAGCCAAAAATGAAATAGTTTATTTCCGATAAGAACGACGATGACAATGTAATTAAATGTATAAATATATATTAGAACAATAACATGGATAAAACTAGATAAAAACAAACGATGTTTCGACACTTATTGTCATCGTCTTTTAAACTGTTTCGTTTCTGGGTTCGTAGCCCTTCTCATTTTACTATTATTTAATTTATTTTTTAATTTTTTTTAAACACAATTTTGTAATACTAAAACCTGTAAAATATGTAGCAAACTGAAATATTTGTATGTCCTATGTATTACATAGAAGAAAGAAGTGTACAATAATTATTGAATCATGACGGCCGAATGTCTAAGCCGGGCTTTCAAGTCTTATTGATAAGCGCTATAAATAGCATGTATCCAATCGAACCGTGTTCAATAGTGTGCAAAGTAACGACAAAAGTAACTGTAAATTTCGTTACCGTTACCCAAAAAATGTAACTCGTTACCGTTACAGTTATCAAAAAAAGAAAGTAACGCAGTTACCAGTAAAGTTACCAAAAAAGTAACTTGTAACTAAAAGTATAAGTTTTAAGGACTCTTATTAATAAATAAATTAAAAAATGTATATAAATGGCATAAGAGTCAAGAAATTCAATTATTATTACGTCCGCGTTTTATAAAGAAAAGTAACGTTATCGACCTAAGACTATTGACTTGTTATCGACCTAAAACGATTGATGAGAGCGCCACCGATTACTGACAGGAGCGCTGCAACGTTTTCAATGCGCAAGGAAACTCAAGAAAAATGTACGATTACGATTCGAACATGGCGGCGTAACACAAGTCATTGTAATCCTGCAATAAAGAAAATAAGTGAAGAAGAGTCAAATAATCGCATATCTTCTCATTAAACATTGGTCCTTCGAGCCGGATTCTCATCGAATCACGAAGAATCTGGAAAAGGCAAGGTATAAACATATACCTCGAAAAATACACGGATCTGAGATCTCTCATTGAATCACGAGGAATCCGAAAGGACGAGGTATAAACATATATCTCAAGAAGTAGTACATGCATACACGGATCCATCGACAGCGGCACGCAGGTATCTACGAACGGTGGAAATCGCGCGGTCGTGACAGTTGCAGTCATCCAGACAACGAGTCATCACAGCAGTCACAGTCATCGATGCGTAATAATTCCCCCCCTTCCCTTCTTCCTGCCCTACATTCCCCCTCTCCCGAACTTTGTCGTTTGCTCTTGGCCTTCATGAAAGCCAATGAGCTGTTCTTTTAAATATTCCCATTGCCTCTCCCTTCACTCCTTTGACGCGCTGCTCACCGCAAGGTGGCAGCAGGCGCCTGGGGTCTGGGGAGTACTTTACTACTGCGATTGGACTACCAAGATGACAACCCTAGCACATTTAATACCAACACCGCGGACCTCAATGGCCTAGTTACAGCCGGAGGCTACTTGGCCAATATATTAAGAAGAAGAATCGATGCGTAATTACAACGAAATTATTATACGATAGCCGTCCAGTGTATTAGCATTTGTCGTTTTTTTGGTCGTAATTGTAATCAAGCATAGCGATAATGGCGGATGCAAGCAAGTTAGTGAAAACACGCGGCAAAATAAAGGGGCAGTTGACGCGCGTGCGCAATTGGCTGAGGGTTTTCGATGTACAAACCCATCAAATCGAAGAAGTTGAGATTAGGTTAACTATGTTACAACGTGCGTGGGATGAATTTCACGTGACTCAAGACGCGCTGGAGGAAGTAAATGCGGAATTCGAGAACGATGGCGAGCGGGAATCGTTCGAATCGGATTATTACGCGACAGCCGGGGCTGCGAGAGCGTTAATAGCAGAACGCGAACGAACAAGGGTCAGACGAGAAAATCGCAATCTCAATGACCAAGGTACAGGCAATGCGGCGAATGCAGTAGATAAAATAAAGTTACCTCCGATAAATGTACCTACATTCAATGGAACTTACGATCAATGGCCGAATTTTCGAGACACATTTAAGGCGGTTATTGACGAAAACGAGGCATTGTCAGATATCAAAAAACTTTATTACTTGCGGTTAGCATTAAAGGGTGTAGCAGCGGAAGTATTAGAGTCAATGGAGATGTCGGCTGACAATTATGATGTCGCATGGGACCTGCTTAAGAATCGATTCGAAAATAAGCGCGTTTTGGTTCATCATCACGTTCAGGCATTGATTGAATTTCCAGTTATGCAAAAGGAGTCACAGTCTAATTTGCGTCAATTATTGGATCACACGGAAAAGCATGTCCGTGCATTAAAAAAGCTTGGAGAACCGACGGACTCGTGGGGTACCATTCTGGTTCATTTAATGACAGCGAAATTCGACAATGTCACAAAGCGTGAATGGGAGACCAAAACGTCTTCTAGGGAGGTCGCGACATACACTCAATTTATTGAATTTACTACGAATCGTTGTATTATGTTAGAAGCATTGCAGATTGATAAATTAAAATCAACAAAGGTTTCATCTGTTATCGGCGACAAGTCAGCAAATGCAAATAAAAAGACGGTTGCTGCCCCGGTAGCGGAGGTATCGAATAAATGCTCAATATGTAAGGAAGGGAAACACAGGATATATCACTGTCCTACCTTTCTCAACTGGACTCCTCAAGCAAGGAGCAAGGAAATCAAAGGGCTCAAATTATGCTTTAATTGTTTCAAGAAAGGTCATAGTATTGAAGCATGCAATTTCACTACTTGTCGCATGTGTCACAAAAAACATAATACATTGTTACATGTTTCTAGCGGCGAAGATACGAAAGAGAAGAGCCAAACTGAAAGCTCCTCAATTAATCCAATGGTGTCAACAGAGCAATCATCTACGAGCGTAACGCATTATGCTGCACGACAATGCGATCGTGGATTGCTAGCCACGGCAATCGTTGAAGTGCAGGACAACGAAGGCAATTTTCAGGAATGTCGTGCATTTCTGGATCCAGGTTCACAGTCAAATTTCATGACAAAGGAACTTTGTGAACGTCTATGTTTACATCAACAAAAAAATTATATGCAAATTCGTGGCATTGACGGCACCACCGCTCTCACCGAAACTTATGCTACGATACGGTCAAGAATCAATGCATTCAAGGTCAAACTCGGATTCTCAGTACTACCAAAAATTACGATGAATCTTTCCTTGACGGAAATTAATAAACGACATTTGCAAATACCAAGCTCAATCACTTTGGCAGATCCATCCTTCCATACTCCAGGACAAGTCGACTTGCTTCTTGGTAGCACCATATTCTGGGAACTCCTTTGCGTTGGCCAAATCAAGCTAGAAAAAAATCAACCAGTGGCACAAAAAACTAAATTTGGATGGATCATAGCTGGACCCATAACCTTCGAATCCAACAACATGTCGATTGTTTCCGCTAGTATGTCGTTTTACAGTGAAAAAATCGAAGATCAACTGGAACGTTTCTGGAAGGTAGAGGAGAGTGCTATTTGTCCAGGGCGAACTGAGAATAACGAAGAATGCGAAAACGAGTTTGTGCAAACACATCGTCGCAACAAGGACGGACGCTTCGAGATACGGCTGCCTTTAAGTGATAGCATAGAACGATTGGGACATTCACGCGATATCGCGATCAAGCGGTTGAAGAGTATGGAACGAAAATTCGCCAGATCTTCAGATCTACGACATCGATACAACGAATTTATGCAAGAATATGAACGAGTCGGTCACATGACCGAAATCAAAAGTAACGATAATTCTGAATCGTCTTTATATTTACCTCACCATGCAGTATTGAGGGAAGACAAGTCAACCACAAAACTCCGAGTCGTCTTTGACGCATCATGTCCTACATCGACCGGAGTAGCACTGAACGATATACTACGTGCAGGGCCTACAATTCAACAAGAATTAACGTCCATACTGCTCAGATTTCGTCAGCATAGATTTGTAATCACGGCTGATATCAAACAAATGTATCGCCAAATACTTATCCAAGAAGATCAACGAGATCTGCAGCGAATCGTGTGGAGACAAGATTCAAACGAGCCAATACGAGATTTTCGTCTCAATACGGTTACGTACGGAGTAACCAGTGCGCCCTTTCTAGCTGTTCGATGTTTGCATCAGCTCGCAATTAAATATCAAGATCAGTATCCGGACACTAGTAATGTCATACTCAATGATTTTTACGTGGACGATCTTTTATCTGGTGGAGATGATGTACACACCTTACAGCGAATCAAGCATGAGTTAACCGAAATACTACATTCAGCAGGCTTTCAACTTCACAAGTGGAACACTAATGAATCAAGAGAGCGAGAAGCGTCTTCAGAAGTCAAGTCACTGCCAATTGGAGACGAGATAAAAACTCTAGGAGTTTGTTGGAACATTACAGACGACTGTTTCCAGTTTACAAAACTCAAGCCATCAAAGATAATCAACGTGTAACTAAGCGAATTGTATTGTCGACCGTTTCTCAAATTTATGATCCGTTAGGATTGCGTTGTCCGACAATCACTCGAGCGAAAATTATACTCCAACAATTATGGCAGTTGAAAGTGGATTGGGATGAATCTCTTCCACTTCATTTGCATACTACTTGGATGCAGTACAAAAAACAAATGGATGAGATGAGTCTAATTTCGGTTCCGAGACATGTAATGTGCGATCAACCTCAACGCATCGAACTCCACGGATTCTGCGATGCGTCAGAGGCAGCTTACGGGGCATGCATCTACATACGAAGCTTCAGTCAGTCGGGGCAAGTAGTATCAAGACTACTATGTGCAAAATCCAGAGTGGCACCGCTCAAGAACCTCACATTGCCTCGGCTTGAGTTGTGTGGAACAGTTTTGCTGGCTCAACTCGGGTGGACTGTACAACAAGCATTATCCGTTCAATTTGATCATATCCAGTACTGGAGTGATTCAACAATAGTGCTCTCTTGGATCAACCACAATTCTAGAGAGTTACAAACGTTCGTAGCCAACAGAGTTTCAACCATTCAACAACTAATATCAGGAGTTCAATGGGCACATGTTCGGTCAAAGGAAAATCCCGCAGACCTCATATCGCGAGGAACAACGCCTCAGAATCTCAAAAATCTAAACTTGTGGTGGTCCGGACCAGATTGGCTCTTGGAAGATTGTCAGGATTGGCCGGCTGAAACTTATACAAAGGTATCTCCAATTCCAGAATTAAAGAAACAAACAGTAATCGCTTACTGTGACTCATCGAGCCGCGAAATCTTCACGAGGTTTTCATCGCTTTCACGATTGAAGAGAGTCACAGCTTATTGCATGCGATTCAAAAATAATACATTGATGAAGCAAACACGAAAAACAGGGCACCTGTCCATTGAGGAATTGAACAATGCCATGCTGGTATTGATACGAATGGTTCAAGCAGTCGAATTCGCGACTGAGTTATCCGACCTCCAAGAAAATCGGGCAGTACAGGGAAAAAGCAAACTCATCGCGTTAAACCCTTTCATTGACAAGACAAAAATTATCCGCGTCGGGGGTAGATTACGTCATTCCGATCTTGATTTCTCAAAGCAACACCCGATAGTGTTACCAGCGAATCATCCGTTGACTGAACTAATTATTCGAGATTGTCACCTTAAGCATATGCATGTTGGACCTCAAGGTCTACTAATTCATTTACGTAGCATGTATTGGCCATTATCGGGGCGGAGGGTAATCCGACGAGTATTACGAAAGTGCGTAGCATGCTTCCTCGTACGTCCGAAAAGTCAAACTCAATTAATGGGAGATCTACCCAAGGAGCGTGTCACGCCGGCCCGAGCGTTTATCAATTCCGGAGTAGATTACGCCGGACCATTTTCTATTAAACTATCGCGAAATAAAACCGGAAAGGCGTATCTATGTATATTTGTATGTCTCACAACAAAAGCGACGCATTTAGAAATAGTCAGCGATTTGACTACCACTGCATTCCTCAATGCATTAAAGCGATTCGTAGCGAGACGAGGTCGATGCGCAAATTTGTTTTCCGACAACGGCACCAATTTCGTAGGTGCAAGCAATCAGCTTCGGGAATTGACGAAAATGATAAGTAATGATCATGTCGACCGATTTTTAACAGAGCAAGCAATACAATGGCATTTTATACCTGCTAACTCGCCTCATATGGGCGGGATCTGGGAAGCGGTCGTACGTTCAGCAAAAACACACATGAAGCGTGTTGTCGGCAACAATTTATTAACATTCGAAGAACTTAGTACAATCTTTGCACAAATTGAGGCCGTACTAAATTCGCGACCGTTATGTCCTCTTTCAAACGATCCTCAGGATTATGAAGTGCTTACACCGGGACATTTTATCATCGGCGAACAAATTAACTCTTTCCCAGAGCCCGACTTAACAGAAATATCTACAAACAGGTTAACACGATTTCAATTGTTGTCGCAGATGCGTCAAAACTTCTGGAAACGTTGGGTCAGCGAGTACTTAACGCAACTTCAGAATCGGTACAAGTGGCAGAAACCAAATTATGATAATATTAAGATCGGTACGTTAGTGCTATTAAAAGACAATGACCTTCCACCCTTGAAGTGGCGCATGGCGAGAATAATTGAACTCCATACTGGCTCCGACGGCAATGTCCGTGTTGTTAGTGTACAAACACCTACGGGAGTTACGAAGCGTACCATTCACAAAATTTGTGTGCTTCCTATCGAGGATTAAGCAAATTTTTTTTCCTTTCTTTTTATCGTCTATTATATCGGCGTTTTTAACTTAAATTAAATTTAAGTGTTTATTTGAGCGTAATAAAGTTTTAAGTCTATGCATTATGTTGATAGTTATTAAGTTATCCATTGTATGTGATACATGTCAGTATGTATAATAGTGCTCATAATTATTAGCGAATAAGTTAAAAGGCTAAGCCTCTCAAGGCCGGCAGGATGTTACGTCCGCGTTTTATAGAGAAAAGTAACGTTATCGACCTAAGACTATTGACTTGTTATCGACCTAAAACGATTGATGAGAGCGCCACCGATTACTGACAGGAGCGCTGCAACGTTTTCAATGCGCAAGGAAACTCAAGAAAAATGTACGATTACGATTCGAACATGGCGGCGTAACACAAGTCATTGTAATCCTGCAATAAAGAAAATAAGTGAAGAAGAGTCAAATAATCGCATATCTTCTCATTAAACAATTATAAAATGTCAAATTTAAAAAAAAAAAATACAATTGAAATCGAAAATAATATTAACCAATGAATATCATCCTTTGAAAATTGACCCCAAAAATTTGTACCATTCTAAATTAAAATGATTATCTAATAATGTAACCTAATAATCTAAACCTTTAATACTTTAAATGATATTATCTAATATAATATATTACCACGAAAAGTAACTGATATATTACTAAATCTGCCAGTTCAAAGTGAACGTACATATAACGAATATTTTCTATGTTG